GACCCTGTAGGACCTGACATTGCTATAGAGACTTAAGACTTTATTCCTAGTGAAAAGCCATAGGTTGTGGTATATATTTAATTGTTGTAACAAAAAGACCCATAAATGCAGGGCCCCAAAGAAAGTAGAAGTTCCTAACAACTTATTTTACAGTTTGTAGCTGATTCTTTTCTACAAGCTTGTCTAAAGACCGTGATGATTCCTTTTATTTTGGTCTTCAACCATTTGATAAGGGTTGCTTTAATCTCTAGTCCAAGCCATTTCACTATCTATATGTTCATGTTTCTTACTTTGCAAAGAGGGAAAGAAGGGAATTTTTTTTTTTAGGATGTGGAAGTTTTAACTTTCAGCATGTATCCCTACCTCTTAGGATATATGCTGAAAGTTAAAAAAAAATACCACTTTTTAAAATGAATTGTATTCTTAATAGAGAGCTTAATGTCAGTGAAGTTAAGAAGCTAAGAAAACATTTCCGAGAACAGGCTTAGGCTATACACAAGATTTCTGATCTCAGAGCAAAAGTTCCAGAAAATTCACAGTAAAGCATTTGAGACCTGGGTGGGAAGAAGGGGGAAGTCTAATATATATATGGTCAAAAGACGAATTGAATATTTTTGTTAATGGCTTTAGTGCCCACTGTCAATCTACTTAAGTGCCATGACATTTTCCCTGTCGGGTTATTGTGACTTACTTATAGATTGACCCCACCCTTTTTAAAACTAGTGTTTTAGACTATGCATGGGTGTTGTATATTTGTTGAGATTTTGTGTATCTTGGCCAGCTAATGAATTCAGGGTTAATAATGTTTGTCTCATTGATTTTAATATTTGAATTGGTTGACAGATTATTAGATATTCAAGTTTATGTTTTAAGTATCTAGTATCTTAATATAGTCAGAAAAATACTATTATAATTTGTAATCCTTATGTGCTAAAGAGAGAATATTTTACATGCTTCAATTACCTTAAAGCTGTCACATAGCTTATTGTACAATAAATAATCATTTATATGTATTCCACAGAACAACGAATATCATGCATCCTCACACTAAAGAAGGTTGCAAAATATGATGATGTGTACTTTTTGATAGTTTTGTATGTAGGCACACTATTGATTATATCATTTGAAATATTCTACTGCAAAAAGTTTCATGTAAAGTCTACTGCTGAAAATTTCTTACAATTTCAATTTGTTATTAGTTGAGTAATTTGCTGTTTCTTTTTAAAATTGCATATTAATGTATGAAAAGCTTTCAAAATAATCCTTAAACTATTTTGCTAAGAGTGAGAAGAAATAAAAACATTTTAAAAAAAGTGTCTTTTGTTAATTTTTTTTCCTTTCAGACTAGCACATCTAGTACAGATGATGGTTATACGAATGTTTATGATTTTACATATCAGTTTTTAAAGTCTGATCTTAATCATAAAAAAAAATCACTGAAGGACAATTTTGAGAGGGTGCAGGCTCCATGGTTTCAGGAAGATGAATGTCTAAGTATACTGGGACAGATATTTATTTTCCCTAAATATCCTAGAGTTGGAGATTTCTTAATCTTAAATTCTACTGATTTTATTACCTCTAAAATAACGACGTGGGTTATAACATTAAGCATTACCAGCATCTTAAATATAGATGGGAGTTATATATGCTTTCATGTTTGTGATAATGTAGAGAAGTTCAAGAAGATACTGTGTCATTAAGTCAATAACTTTTACATTCTGTGAATGGGCACATATTTATAAATTTGGAGGGCTTCCAGTATTATTTCAGATTATGTCAGTGATTTTATGTACAAAATAATAATTTAGAATAGCGATTCTCTAAATTTAGTATATTTAAGAATCACTTTAAAGCTTGCCAAATGTCAGATTTCTTGGGCCTTCCTCCAAAATATTTTGCCTGGTTCTCTGGAATCCACTTGGTCAAACTATCATAAAAATTAAAGAACAGTGGGGCTCGTGGCACATATGTGCAATCTCAGTGGCTCTGAAAGCCAAGGCAGGAGAATCAAAAGTTCAAAGCCAGCCTCAGCAACTTCGTGAGGCTCCAAGCAACTTAGTGAGACCCTGTCTTGAAATAAAAAGAGGAATGTGGTTTAATGGTTAAGCATTGCTGGATTCAATTCCCAATTCAAAAAAAAAAAAAAAAAAATTAATGATCAAAAATTAAAGCTTGATTTGAAGGTTAGTGATTTTTGAAGCAGGAAATTAAAATATCATGTCTAAGTTATTACCATTTCTGCATGGAAACTTGCATTAGATATAAATTTTTCTATTATAGGTCAACAAAATATTTTAAGTGATTTCTCTTGATTTGAATATGTCTTTTGTATTAGTTTCTTTGTTTACTCTCTCCTGTAGTGTTCCCTCCAGTTTTCCTTTGCTTCCTTTAGTAAATGAGTATTTACCATGTGTCAGTCATTGTGGTAGGAATCTGGAAGGAGTCAATGTGGAAAAGACATGGATCTAAATGATATAAATGATTGAGAATCATTTATAAAACAAGTAAGCTATATACACAATGAATGAAGAAATCATTTTGAGTAGTGGAGAATTCACAAACCCATCTTATATTTGTACTACCCCCTAAAATATATATTTGTCAAGGGGATGAAAGTAAATGGCAATCTAGTTATAATAAAGTTTGCAAGGGTGATGGTTAAGTGGTGGGAAGTAAGACTGATAAAGACAGGTTAGGGTCAGGGACTTTTTTATCTTTTGGTTTTATTTATTTTAATCCTTAATACACTGGGGGAGTTGGGCTAAGTGTCAAGAAAAGGGAGTGAATTTAAGATATTTTAAGAGTAGAATTGGTAGAATTGTGAGACTAGTAAAACTGAAATTGACTAAAATTAGAGGAATCAAAGAGTTAAGGAAGAATTAAGGAAGATAGGAAACCTAATGAAATATAACTTCTATAATTCAACTGTGGATAAACAGACTTTCTAATCTGATAGCCTTTTCAGGCCTTATCTTTTCTATAGCCATCTTAGCATATAATCACTTCCTCACCTGTCTTAAGACATGTTTGTTTGTTTTTCCTCTCATCTATAGGTAAATGAAGCAGTTTAATCTTTCAGTCTGCATCAAAAATCTGTGTGTGACTTAATAATTCTACTTTAGGAGTTGAAACCCTAGAAATAATTACAGATTACTAATTATATTTATATGTAATTATATTTATATGTAAATGTATTTATATGTAAATACATTTATATGTAAATATAAAGGTCTTTATAGTATAGTGTTATTTTTAATGATAAAAAATGGAAAATGAACCGAAGGGTTCTCAAAAAGGAATTTACTTATTTATTTTTTGGTACTGGGGATTGAACCCAGGGGCACTTAACCTCTAAGCCACATCCTTACCCCTTTTTTGTATTTTATTTTTAGATACAGGGTTTCACCGAGTTGCTTAACACCTCATAAGTTGTTGAGGCTGACTTTGAACATATGATCTTTCTGTCTCAGTCTCCCGAGCCAGTGGGATTTCAGGCATACAACACTGTGCCTGATTTCATAAGGAATTTATTAGACAAATTATACTATATCCATTTTATTTATTTATTTTTAAGTGGTTCTGAGGATTGAACCTAGGGCCTTGCATGTGCTAGGTGAGCTCTCTACCGATGAGCCACAACCCCAGCCCCTCCTATATTCATTTGCTGGATTGGTAAATTAGGAGAAGAGGGAAAGGAAGATACTGGGGAATGAGATTAATCAAATAATGTCATATGCAAGTATGAATATAGCATAATGAATCCCACTGTTATGTAGAATTGCAATGTATGAATAAAAGAATTTTTTAAAAAAGAAGGTTAACCTTTAAAGTTATTGCTTTACTTTTCAGGTCAACTGCAAGTTCATGGGGTCATTTAAGAACACAGTTTTTTTTCTTCTTATTTCTCTGTCATCTTGTAAGGCATTAATGGTTTAAGCTCAGTTGTGGGCACATCCTTGTATTAGATTTATTGAACCTGTTCTTGCTAACCAATGATGACAGTTGTTCCATCTAATAGTACATTTTCAGTGTGTAACATTTGAAGCTGATAATCCCCCCCTTTATTTATTTATTTATTTTTATTAGTTGCTCAAGACAATACAATGATCTTGACATATCATACATTTGATTCAAATAGGGTATGAATTCTCATTTTTCCATGTGTACAGATTGCAGGATCACATTGCTTATACATCCATATCCCCCCCCTTTTTTAAATAAAAAAATTAAACTTTTTCCTCGTAGGCTTCTATTGGTTTCTAAGAATTTGTTCATTGTGTCTTTTTTCTTTCTCTTTGCCTTGCAAATAAAGGTTGGAGTTCTCCAGTGTTCTCTCTATGGTCCATTTTCATTTACATGCATACTCTTAATGTACCACTCAGGACCATTTTCATGTGATTTCTCCCAAATCTCCATCTCTAGCATGAAAACCATTCTTATAAGCACCAAGACCTATTGTAATACCTCTACTTGAATATTCTGCAGGAAACCAAATTTAATATATCCAAGACTGACTTAATTACCTTCCTTTCCAAAGTAGTTCTCCCACCTCTATTGCTTCTCAGAGCCACCTAGGTCAGAAATCAGCAAGTCAACCTCAGCAATTTCTATCTTCCCTTCTCCAGTGAGACCAAATACTTTGTTAAATATGCCTCTTGAGTATTTGTTCTGGCATTTCCCCTCTTCTGTCTCCACAGTCTTAGTTCAGTCAAGATTATTTTGAGCTTCCTCTGGGATCTGTTTCTATTCAGGCTCCTATCCAATCCTACTAATTGATTAGATAGGTCAGTGATTTTCTTTCACTGGTGTTTGGTGGGCATTAGCTATATGTTTAAATTGTATAACATGGTACAGTGCCAAGTGCAATTTAGCTGTTAATAAATTATATTAATGATAAAAATGAACATTTGTTAAAGATGAACCAAGATTAGTAATAAAGTAGTTATTACCATAATGTTCAAGGAAACTTGGGAGAAAATTAAAGATAGGTAGTAAAAAAGTACTGGAGCTAAAGAAAACATTTTGGTAATTTAATATTTAACTTTACACACAGTTTAAATCAGGTGTTTGTTGCAGATATTAGCACTCTGCAGAGAAAGCAGGAATAGATTGTTCCTGAACGTGGTGTGTCAGTTTAAGCTATGCACCATTAAATTTGAGTGATCTCTTCTGGGCCCTGCCATGGCTGCACATAATGGAAAGCCAGAGGCTGCCACCCCTGTTCTAGTCAGTTAACCTAGATTCCTTGTGGACACTAGGCCCTCCTGTTTCATTCTCTCCCAAATGGCATTGGGATTGCTGGCTTCTAATCTCAGGTTATCCTTCACACTTCTTCATAGTTTTCCTTGACTCCTGGAATTTTTTCTTTTATATTTGCTTATCCATTTTTTTTACTGTCTTCTGAGCTTCACATGAGAGACTTTCTTCTCTAATCCCTGCTGATTGCTGGAGTCACATCTGGGTTACCTGGTAGGAGAGAGGGATATTTGAGCATAGTCAGTGTTTTTGCAAAGTAATATGTTATAATATATTTTATAATGTATAATATCTTATATATGTATATATATTTTATAGGTTAAAAAAATATGTTTTTCTGGATAGCCTGTATGGTACAAAGAAGCGATTCTGCCCAAACTTTCAGATTGGTGATACTTCTCTTCCTCCTCCAGCATGATAACATTTACTGTTTTGTTTGTTTTTTCACTATGTGAAGGGCAGTGTTTCACATACTTTACTATGTCATAGTCCATTTAATTCTCCCAACAACCCTGTGATGTAGGTACTATTCCCATTTTATAAGTGAGGAAACAGGCCCAGAGAAATTAAATTTGACAGATACCACATGGCTCGTAAGTGACAGAACTGGGATTAAAATCTAGGCATAATTCTTATAGAATCTGTCCTTGTTGCAACCATCCTTTACTGACTCTTTTAAGAGGGAATAATGCACATACATATATAGTTGTAACACAAATAGAGATATCCCTTTAAATAACATTAAACTATGAAATAACATGCAAAATGTGTGACTTGTCATTGTGGAGGGAAAGGAATACTGGACTGCTACCAACTAATTCTGTGACCTTGGGCAATTAACAACCTTTCAGGACTTTGGTTTCTGCACCTATACAGTTCTAAGTTCTCTTTTTTCTTTTCACTAAGTTTGGGTTTGTAATTCCTGCTTACTCTGTTGTGCTTAGATTTAGTATCTACTACAGGATATATTTCAACTTGTCATTTAAGTTACACTGATGAAGTTAGTTTTATAGCTTTGAATGTGTTACTGTAGAGAAGTTCATTATCAAGTGCTTTACTGTGTGAATTCAGACACCTGTAGAACAAACCAAGTCACCTTAAACACATTTCATAATCAATTGGTCAATCAATTCTTATTTATTGTGCTTTTATAATAGATATGCCTGTCTGCTAGATCCTGGTATGTTTGTTAATCAATTAGGTATTTGTTCTATACTTCAGATATCTTACAGAAATGTTTACTGTATAAATTTTGAAATGTAGTTTTGAAAATTTGTACTTTGTGAAATGGCAAAATACCAAATTGCGATAAATTGGGATTTTATACATTTTACCCGAAGGGCATAGATTTGTGTCTCCTTTTTTTTTTTTTTTTGTGTGTGTGTGTATGTGTGTGTTTTTACTATGTTAATTTGATTCTCCTTATATTTTAGAGTACAACCATATAAACTTAATTGATTTTTTTTACATAATGTTACTTCAGGTATTATGTTGCATAATTCTTACATAAGCTTTAGGTTAAGAGCCATAAATATAATCATATCTTAATGTTTTAACTGAATTGATTTTTAGGAGGTTATAATAGTAGGAAAAATATACATTTTTAATTCCTAAGCTCCCACCCCAAACATCTTGACAGATAGTCATGTTAAATTAAAAAGAAAAAGAAATCCTCTATGAATGAAGTGTGCCATTATTTAAAGAACTTTTAGATCTTTTCTTTTAAATAATATGAGGCTGACCTTTATTATGAGGCAGTAAGTGATTAAGCACATGCTGGAACCAGGCTTCTAGGGCTCAAATCTCAGCTGTCAGTTTTAAGACCTTGAGCAAGTTACTTACTTCATCTCCTTGTCCCTCAATTTCCTTTAGTACCTTAGGGTGGTTACAATAATTCAAAATATTAACATAGAGAAACAGGACATATAAAATAGATGTATAAAAATTTGACCTTATTTTATAGGAAAGAGGTTAGAATTAGGACGTATATATGGCTCCATTGTTATTTGTGTATTTATTTATTTATTTTTTTAATACTTAGTTTTTAGTTATAGTTGGACACAATACCTTTATTTTATTTATTTATTTTTATGTGGTGCTGAGGATCGAACCCAGGGCCTCGGATGTGCTAGGCAAGCACTTTATTGCTGAGCCACAACCTCAGGCCCTATTTATTTATTTTGATATGAGGATTGACCCCAGGGGCACTTAACCACTGGGGCACATCCCTAGGCCTTTTTTGTATTTTATTTAGAGACTGAGTCTCACTGAATTGCTTAGGGCTTCCTTGTTGCTGAGGCTGGCTTTGAACTTGAGAACCTCCTGCCTCAGCCTCCCAAGCTGGTGGGATTATAGGTATGCATCCAGCTTCATTGTTATTTGAAGATACAGTGAACTCCCTTATGTGCTTGTGCATTCTCTCATATGCATGCTATGCTATTCCAGTTTTGCAGTCTACTTATTTAATTGGCTTAAAACTCTTTCACCTTTCATAGAGCTTCCTTGGATGAAAAATCTCAGCAGCAGATCCCCATTCTTTTCACCTTGTGCTACAAACTAATCCTGACAAAGAGTGCCCCTGAGTTTAATCCCCGGTACTCCAAAAAAACAAAAACAAAAACAAAAAGAGTGAAGGAAAGCTTCAATTCAAGAACTCCTATTTGGAATAGGAAAGACAATAAAATGAATCAGACATAAATTTTCTATGTACATATAGGAATATGCCACAATTTTCTTTAGTTTAAACACTATCATTGTTTTTAAAATTTTATTTGGGGGCTAGGGCTATAGCTCAGTGGGAGAGTACTTGCTGCCTAGCATGCACAAGGCCCTTGATTTGATCCCTGCCACTGAAAAATATATTGCATTTAAAAATTTAGATTTTAATATTTAAAATTAGGAGACTTCACATTAAAACTTATATTTCCTATTTTTCTTGAAAAACAAGGAGGTATGGAAACACAAAGTCCACATCCTCATATGACACTTAAGTTGAGGCTACATCCTTTGGATATGGCATTTTTTGTTTTCCAATTTATACCATAGTACATTTTGTTTATTTTTAAACCAAGCTGGTCTCATTCTCTTATGTTGCCTTCTTGTTTCCCACAGGTATTTTTATGTTAGATTTCTACAGCAGAGCTTCAAAAAATTAATGAGTCCCTCAAAGTATCTATTAGAAATCTAGTGGAAATAGAAGATAAATACTGAAGTGGCATTTAAAAAAAGAACCAAACCCAGTATAAACCAGGTTTCTATAAAATCAAAATGTCTCAAATAAATGCTTTCATATCAAAAAACACTGCAATCAAACTAATATTGGGACCAAGGATGCAGAAAATCTAACTCAGAACATGTTTAGTAAATCGGGTCAAAAAAGACTGCAAAGAATCATACTTTCCTGTGTATGCTCTTGTTTATTGCTTTTCCACAATAACTTTGGACTTTTTTCATGTGATTTGCTTTGACTACAAAAAACGTGACCCAAGCAGAGATTTAAAGAATGCATGCACATTGGTATCTGAATTCTGTTGTCATGCCAAGCCAAGCCCAGGCTAGCATATTGGACAATGAGAGGCCATGGGAGGCCAAGAAAAGCCATTCCAACTAAAGCTCCCAAGAGTATCCAGCTTGTTGATTGCCAACCAGATTTGAGTGATATGGTCTAGAGCAGACTAATGAACAATAATAAAACCAATGTTGCTTTAAGTAAGTTTTTGAAGGGTTTGTTGAATAATAAAATCTAACTGATACAAGAAGAAAGGGGAGGAGAAGGAGGAAGCATTGAAGATTCAGCACAAAAGTGAAGTTGCTAACCTCCAGCTTAGAGTTAGTCTTCTAGTGTAACATCTATAATACCTAAAAGAACTATACTTTTTTTTTTTTTCAGGTACTAGGGAATTAACTCAGGGGTACTGAACCACTGAGCCACATCCCCAGCCGTATTTTGTGTTTTATATAGACACAGGGTCTCACTGAGTTGCTTAGTGCCTTGCCTTTGCTGAGGTTAGCTTTGAACTCACCATCGATCCTCCTGCCTCAGCCTTCCAAGCTGGTAGGATTATAGGCGTGAGCCGCCACTCCCAGCAAGAACTGTAGATCTGAGAATGAGTAGATATGCTGGAGTATGGAGATTTGTGTATGTATGTATATGAGAGGAATCTGGAACAGCAAGTATGTTGGCTATTGGCCAGGTATGATGATATAAGAGATAGAGGTGTGGAGATCAGCAGGCTGATTGAATTTAAGAGATAGCTCAGTAACACAGCCTGCCTTTTTGGAATTCCTCTGGTTCCCTGATTGTACATTTTGCAGCCTCTTAAGCCAAAATTATTTTTCTGCTCATCTTGTTTATAAATTTAATTTTATTTCTATAGATATTTTCATGATTTTTCTTTGTTTTTGCTTTCATGGCATGGTATTTTCCTACTTATCTGCTTTTTCTTTAAGGGAGAGGGAGTATTAATTTTAATCTAATCCACTTGGATGGATTAAAACTAAACTGACGTTTTAGGCATCCTCAGAATGAAAAATGTCCATTGGCTATAGTACCCTTGTTGTGGTATCATGAGACAACTCATTTGTATTCATTGTGCCTTCTCTATATCATGCCATTGGATACTAAAATGCAGGAAATCTAATGTAGGGGACAATATGAATTTTTAGAATTTCCAGGCACTTTGTGTGAATATTCCCCAGCCTCTCTGTCTTCCAAAGTGTGGTCTGAGCACCTACATTTCAATATTAACTTTTTATCAGGTATCTTCCAGATGGTTTGACCATTGCAAAAAGAAAATGATGAAACCATTTAAAAAATATATTCACAAAGTTTGAAATGTAAAATTTAGTTATGATTTTTATGAAAATTCTTTTATTTTCTCAATAATCATTTAAAAAGTTAATGCTTTTGACATAAGCACAGTATTGGTCATGTCAATTAATGTCAGTTCACGTCAATTAAGATTCAGTTAATAGTTTCTCTTACTTTACTATCTTAATGTCATTATTGACTTATTGTGTATTTGATTAGATTTGCTTTTATTGTTATTATTACAATAGAATTGCATCATATTTCTACCTTAGAAAATGAATTAATCCATTTCTAAAGTGGCTAACTGATGCCTTTAAAATAGAGGTAAAATAGTAACATGTATGCCAGAAATCACAATAAGGTCAGTACAGATAGAACACATGTTGGGACAAATGAATCTGCAAGTTTGGTTATTTTGCATAAATAAATAAAAGACAAAACATAAATAGAAGATACATGATTCTTGTCTGCAAATTTATTTTTATTATGTAGTTCTGTAGTCCCTGGTGTGTTGTATGATATGAAACTTTTGCTTTATTTTCAAAGTAGCCAATCTAGAAAACCATTGTTATTAAATAGACAAATGAGAACCTCCATAGCATATTGGTTAAGAACATGTGCTGCCTGGGCTCAAATCCCAGTTTTGTATTTGTCAGCTGTATGCACTTGGTTAAACTCTCCCTGGAGGAGGTCCAAAGAGTTCCTGGAGAGGAGGACCTTGACTTAGGACCCGTGGGCTTCTTTGTGTATGTGATGGAAAAGAATTTCAGCCTGTGCCTTTTAGACACAGAGATTTATTTAGGAAAGCAGATACACATTCAAGGGAGAATGTGGATTATCTCAAGAGAAACACGCCTTGGAGTGAAGCAAGGCATATACATTTAAGGGCAAATGTGAATTTTTTTGAGAGTTAGTGATGGCTTTGGAGATATGTATATACACACACACACACACACTACTACTACTACTAAAAAAGAAACAATATGTAAAATATGAAGGATATTTTTGTTCTTAAGGAAAAATGAGAGTGATTTTGTTTTAAAATAAGATGACTGGTTATTCTAGAATGAGAAAGAAAAAAAAATATAGAATAAAACCTGAATAGATATGGAAGGATGTAGAAGGCTTACAGAAAAGTAACTTTCTATTTGTGAAGTTGGCTAAGGTGAATGGATTTATTTTTAAAATTTAAATGAAATGAGACTAGTAGCTTTCTGATGTAAAACTGGAGTTTGGTTTTCTTTATAAAAACAAAGTTTTCTTGGATTATTGATCTATTATAAATAATAGAATATAAAAAGTTTTTCTTTATCCTCTTAGTAATTTTCCAACAGAACAAAGATTATTTGTCTTATGAAAATATTTGCTAGTTTTTTTTGGCATCTCTGTTCAATAGAATTCAAGTATTGTTTCATAGTGATTTGTGACCCTATTTAATCAAGTATTCAAATTGTTTGACCTTTTTGACAGCTTTCTAAAATTAAATCCTAAGTGAAATCTTGAACTCTGCTGAACTTGTATTTCCCAGAGGGCCCCTGGAAAATTTTTGTTTCACTTTGTAAAATATACAGTTTTTAAATATATGTATTAAAATGTATGGGAAACTGTCGCAAGTGGCGCTATTAACTACTCAGAGGTGGATTGTCTTTAAATGCAAATGTATATTCGATCACACCATTCATCAAATATAAACAATTAATGCAAAAAGTGTTGGGTGTGCTGGAACACCCCAACTAGCATTCAGTGCACACTAATTAAACACTATAAGCAGATAAACAATTAATGCAAAAGTACCCCAACTAGCTTTCATTGCTCATTAATTAAACACTATAAGCAAATCACACAATCCTAGGGCAACCACAGTTCCAAAATACCTCCGATGCCACATGACTTCTCTTAGCCAAAGAGCAGACGTTGTCCTTGTCTGGTAGTTCTCTCCAGCTGATGGCTGGACACCAGGGAATGGTGGAGTAGGTCCAGGGATGGACAGAAAGGTCGCCAATCTCACTGATGGCCTTGTAGCAAAACTCTTCAGTATGGCAGGACCAGCAATTTAAATACAATTCCAAGTTGGTGGTGTATGTTGGTGATTGGTTACACCCAGTAAAAGTCAGCATCCATTGTTTATGTCCAGTGAGGTGATGTAATTGCAACTAGGCATGTCCTTTTCACATGTTCATGGAGCTGTGCTCCTTATCATTCGTAACCTGTCATTGCTAAGCACGCCTATGGCTAGTGCCCTTTATACCTCTTTATCAATTGCAAGCAGACATGACTAAGCAGTTCAATGGTTGTTGTTCCTTGTGGCCAGCAACTTAGTGAGTCCCAGCATGTCCCAGCATGTCCTTGGCAGATGCTCCTTACAGAAACATTGTCAAATAAGAAGTGATGTTTAACCTTTTTCAGGTGATAGTTGTATGAGGAAATATTATTACCATAAATACTTCAGATACTTCAGAAATTGTATAAATTTTATGGAAATTTTCCAATATCTTATGCCATCAGGCTATCAGTCATAATTCTAGCTCTTGCTTAAATGTTGTATGCCACAGAAATAACCAATTCCCTTGCAAATTACATCTTTTTTTTTTTTCTAACTTAGGTTTTTTTTTTTTCCTCAGTGCTGAGGATTGAACCTAGAACAAGGTCTTGCCAAGTTGCCCAGGCTGACCTTAAACCTGTGGCCGTTTTGCCTCAACTTCCTGAGTAGCTGAGATTACAGGAGTACACCACCACATCTGGCTTTTAATGTTTTTTTTTTTTTTTTCCCCCCAAAGAACCTACTTTCTCCTCTCTCAACCTAGCTATAGCTTGTTAAATATAGATTTGTATGAATTCTTCTCCTAGGTTCCCCAAATATCCTGTTTTACAAAATATGCTTTGTAAAAAGAAATGAAATATTAATCTTTTCTCTTTACCTGATCTCTTCAAATTTGGATGAACACAATTGAGTATTCTTATTTTCATGGCAATACAATTACTTGTCTCAATTCAGTAAGAATCTGTTCTCCTTGGCATGATTGGAAAAACTGGTTTATAATCTGTGTTTGGATGGAATGTTATATTTGAGAATGATGCATTGAATCAGATGTGTCCAGACACTTTTGAGGACTCAGGTTGACTTTGTAAAGTCAATGCTTACAAAATTCTCTTGGAAAAACTGTCCTAGTACCAGGCTTCTAGGGCTGCCAACATTACAGGTAAGTAAGGAAAGCCACTTGCTAGAAGGCCCAGGAAACAGGATATTTGGGGAACCTAGGAGAAGAATTTACACAAATCTATATTTAACATGGGAATATCCTGATGTTGAATTTGTGGCTTGGCTTACACTCTTTGAGAGGCTTTTAAAAGTCTAATCAGAGATTCTTGTTAAAAAATTTTAGCAAAACAAACCCAAAGCCCTAAATGATCAATTATTATTCTTGCTGTCATTAAGTAAATAATCAGGCTGAATATAATGAGACCAGACCTATTTTGTAAATAACAGTAAAAATGGAAGATAATTGTAGAGAGAAATTTTGTTTCAATGGAAAACAATACACTTGTGAGTTATTAAGTTCTAATCCTGTTCATTTATATCAGCTTATAAATTGACTGGATCCTGCTATCATATATATTTTGTTAGTTCTTCTCGTTTCTCCCATAGTTGACTAAATTCTCCAAATTAACATTTCCAATTTTTTTGCCCTCCTGACTTGGCATTTATTGCAAACTAAAACTTTCCTTTAGCCCTAGAATTCCTGGAAGCTGAACTGGACAGTCTGTTATAAAGTTGCCTGCCTTCAGCAAGAATCCTGTTAGGTCTGTTTAGTCAACCCTATAATTTTCCATTCACTGATCTCCCCTACCCCACCCGGTCTTGCTCCTTGGCTATAAATCCCCACTTGTTCTTGTAGTATTTGGAATTGAGCTTATTCTGTACTGAAGTTTTTCCCCTTTTCTTCTTTTTTAGTTCTGAATAAATCTGTTTTTAAAGCTGGGTGTGGTGACCCACATCTGTAATCCCAGTGATTTGGGAGACTGAGGAAGGAGGATCGAAAGTTCAGAGCCAGCCTTAGCAGTTTAGTGAGGCCTTTGTGGCTTAGTGATATCCTGTCTCAAAAAATAAAAAGGGCTGGTTACAAAATAAATAAATAAATAAATAAAAATAAAAATCTGTTTTTATTGCTTCTACTACTGTCTAGCTCTTTTTTTTTGACAATATCAATAGTATACAATCTAGAAGAGCAAAACTAACAGATCTTTCAACTTACATAAACCAGTGATGCAAAATTTGAATTGTTGCTTTGTGTATATATATATTTTTTGGTACTAGGGCTCAAACCTAGGGGCACTTAACCACCGAGCCACATCCCAGCTCTTATATATATTTTATTTAGAGATAGGGTCTTGCTAAATTGCTTAGAGCCTCGCTAAGTTACCGAGGTTGTCTTTGAACTCATAATCCTCCTGCCTCAGCCTCCCAAGCCATTGGAATTACATGTGGGCACTACCCGCCTGGCTTTGTGTACACATTTTTGTTGGAAAATTGAGGATATGGGAGAAAATATAATGAGATTAGTGCTGATAAAATACAGTGTGCATTGCTATGCAAATAAAAAAGGTGACCTCTCAGTTGGAATTTATATTTTGTAGTCACCGAGAACAGTTGGTGGTCAAAAATATGCTATTTGTTTTTGATTTATTGTCAAAGGAAGTGCTAACAATTCCTAATACCATGAAATTGCAGCCTGTAAGTATAGTATGGACATGCTTCTTTGGCATTCTATGTAAGAATGATGCTGACACTTTTCCTAAAGACTATTTTGAGTAACTTACTTGAATGATAAATGATAACAGTTTGTATTTATTCATGTTGAATTGTTTGATCCTTTACTTTGGGCTCAATTTAAATTTTCTGATGAAAGATCAAGAAACCAACCAACCAAACCTGAACTGTGATATAATGGTTTAAATTTTGATGCTTTCTCATTCTGAATGGAGAAAAATTGAAGGCATTCCCTCTAAAATCTGGAACAAGACAGGGATGCCCTCTCTCACCACTTCTGTTCAACATAGTTCTCGAAACACTGGCCAGAGCAATTAGACAGACGAAAGAAATTAAAGGCATCAAAATAGGAAAAGAAGAACTTAAATTATCACTATTTGCAGATGACATGATTCTATACCTAGCAGACCCAAAAGGGTCTACAAAGAAACTATTAGAGCTAATAAATGAATTCAGCAAAGTGGCAGGATATAAAATCAACACGCATAAATCAAAGGCATTCCTGTATATCAGCGACAAATCCTCTGAAATGGAAATGAGGACAACCACTCCATTCACAATATCTTCAAAAAAAATAAAATACTTGGGAATCAACCTAACAAAAGAGGTGAAAGACTTATACAATGAAAACTACAGAACCCTAAAGAGAGAAATAGAAGAAGATCTTAGAAGATGGAAAAATATACCCTGTTCATGGATAGGCAGAACTAACATCATCAAAATGGCGATATTACCAAAAGTTCTCTATAGGTTTAATGCAATGCCAATCAAAATCCCAACGGCATTTCTTGTAGAAATAGAGAAAGCAATCATGAAATTCATATGGAAAAATAAAAGACCCAGAATAGCAAAAACAATGCTAAGCAGGAAGTGTGAATCAGGCGGTATAGCGATACCAGACTTCAAACTATACTACAGAGCAATAGTAACAAAAACAGCATGGTACTGGTACCAAAACAGGCGGGTGGACCAATGGTACAGAATAGAGGACACAGAAACCAATCCACAAAACTACAACTATCTTATATTTGATAAAGGGTCTAAAAGCATGCAATGGAGGAAGGATAGCATCTTCAACAAATGGTGCTGGGAAAACTGGAAATCCATATGCAACAAAATGAAACTGAATCCCTTTCTCTCGCCATGCACAAAAGTTAATTCAAAATGGATCAAGGAGCTTGATATCAAATCAGAGACACGCCGTCTGATAGAAGAAAAAGTTGGCTACGATCTACATACTGTGGGGTCGGGCTCCAAATTCCTCAATAGGACACCCATAGCACAAAAGTTAATAACTAGAATCAACAAATGGGACTTACTCAAACTAAAAAGTTTTTTCTCAGCAAAAGATACAATAAGAGAGGTAAATAGAGAGCCTACATCCTGGGAACAAATCTTTACTCCTCACACTTCAGATAGAGCCCTAATATCCAGAGTATACAAAGAGCTCAAAAAATTAGACAATAAGAGAACAAACAACCCAATCAACAAATGGGCCAAGGACCTGAACAGACACTTCTCAGAGGAGGACATACAGTCAATCAACAAGTACATGAAAAAATGCTCACCATCTCTAGCAGTCAGAGAAATGCAAATCAAAACCACCCTAAGATACCATCTCACTCCAGTTAGATTGGCAGCCATTATGAAGTCAAACAACAACAAGTGCTGGCGAGGATGTGGGGAAAAGGGTACACTTGTACATTGCTGGTGGGACTGCAAATTGGTGCAGCCAATTTGGAAATCAGTATGGAGATTTCTTGGAAAGCTGGGAATGGAGCCACCATTTGACCCAGCTATTCCCCTTCTCGGTCTATTCCCTGAAGACCTAAAAAGAGCATGCTACAGGGACACTGCTACATCGATGTTCATAGCAGCACAATTCACAATAGCTAGACTGTGGAACCAACCTAGATGCCCTTCAATGGATGAATGGATAAAAAAAATGTGGCATTTATACACAATGGAGTATTACTCTGCATTAAAAAATGACAAAATCATAGAATTTACAGGGAAATGGATGGCATTAGAGCAGATTATGCTAAGTGAAGCTAGCCAATCCCTAAAAAACAAATGTCAAATGTCTTCTTTGATATAAGGAGAGTAACTAAGAACAGAGTAGGGTCGAAGAGCATGAGAAGAAGATTAACATTAAACAGGGATGAGAGGTGGGAGGGAAAGGGAGACAGAAGGGAAAATGCATGGAAATGGAAGGAGACCCTCAGAATTATACAAAAGTACATACAAGAGGAAGTGAGGGGAAGGGGAAAAATAATACAAGGGGGACAAACGAATGTCAGTAGAGGGGGCAGAGAGAGAAGAGGGGAGGGGAGGGGAGGGGAGGGGGGATAGTAGAGGATAGGAAAGGCAGCAGAATACAACAGACACTAGTATGGCAATATGTAAATCAATGGATGTGTAACTGATGT